TTCATGAAAAACTATGGAAAAATCAGTGCACCACTCACTTCTCTACTGAAAAATGATACCTTCCAATGGTCGGACAAAGCCTCCACTGCCTTCGACAAACTTAAGGCAGCCATGACGACGATGCTAGTGATAGCGCTACCAGATTTCAGCTGACCCTTCATCATTGAGGCCGATGCATCTAGAGTCGGAATTGGAGATGTTCTCATGCAAGATGATCGACCACTCACATACACTAGCAAGGCATTGTCTCCCTCCCATCAAAACATGTCAACATATGATAAGGAGATGCTCGCCATTGTGCACGCAACAATGAGGTGGAGATCGTACTTGATCGGGCGATGCTTTCAAATCAAGACCAACCATAAAAGCCTAAAATATTTCTTGGAGCAGGAGATATCTTCCCCCGAGCAGCAAAAATGGGTAACAAAGCTTCTTGGATATGATTATGAAATAACTTACAAAAAGAGGAAAGAGAATGTTGTTGCAGATGCGCTTTTACGGCTATCTAAGCAAGCTGAATTTTTAGCCATTTCACTTTCGACTAGTGACTTCCTTAAGGATATTAAGAGGGAATTGCAGGAAGATCCGGAGACCACTAAGATCATAAAAAAATTGGAGGAAGCACCAAGCTCCGTGGCTTATTACAATTGGGACTCAAAAGAATTACGCTATAAGGGACGCATTGTGCTTGTGACAAATTCTACTTGCATCTTCAAGAGCAGATTTTGGACAAAGTTATTTCATATGCAGGGTACTAAATTGAAAATGAGTACGGCATATCACCCATAAACCGACGGCCATACGGAAGTTGTAAATAGGTGCCTGGAGACAGCCCAAAGCCACCCACCAAATATGACTACCCAAAGAGAACTCTAGACCCAGTCAAGTGCCATTATTGATCGACGAATCGTGACTCGACGACAACGACCTACTACTGAAGTGCTAATACAGTGGGCGAATCTACCAACAGAAGATACCACTTGGGAGAACTATGACGACTTGAAGATTAAATTCCCAGAATTCATGAATCGTTAGCCTCGAGGATAAGGCTGATTTGAAGAGGGCGGGTCTGTTAGGACTCTAGCTAGGAGAGTCCTAATTGAGAGAGACATTCATGTAAAACCTACCTAAGCCGACCCCTATTAAAGAGGTGAAGAGGCTGGCTAGGGTTAGGAGGTTGTTTCTAAGAGAAGAATTAGGAGTTGTAAAGGAATAGGAGTCTTGAGTAGGAGTCCTATTAGGAGTTGGTTAGAAGTATGAGTCTTAAGTAGGAGTCCTATTAGGAGTTACGGTTTAGAAGCCCTATAAATAGTCATGTATTCCTCCTCTTTTCATAAGCAATAGATGAATCTTTTCTGCAGCCTTTGAGCAGCAACTTAGAGGGAGGAACCCTTATAGAGTTCCAAGGAGGCTGATCCCTTAAAGAGATCAACCCCAAGTTTAGAATCTGCAAAGGTTCTAACAAAGGGCCCTTCCCAATTATCAATAGGGTGGGCAACGTCTCCTACAAGTTGCAGCTGCCGGCATGGCTCAAAATTCACAATGTTTTTCATGCCAGCAACTTGAAAGCCTATCACTCAGATCCGCAAGATGCTTCCCAAAGTGTTCCAACTCGGCTACTCCCCACCAGAGCCTTCTACGAGAAGCGAGTTGAAACCATTCTGGCGGATCGTAAGATAAAGCTAACCAATAGAGCTGAGCAGACTAAGTACTTGGTGAAGTGACGAAAGCTTCTCCGAACCAAAGCCAGTTGGGAGCCCGAAAACGCCCTACGACATGAAGAAGCAATCATCAATAACTACTAACAAGTGTCGACGAGGGCGTCGACAATTTAAGTGGGGGAGAATGTCACGAATGGTCATCGCGCACTCACAACAACTTCGTTCAACGAACCGTTCGTCGCTTTTGCATGCTTGTACAGAGACATGGCAACCTGTTTTGCCTTGGTTTTGTGTGCTTTTGCTTATAAAAATGCATGTTCGAACAGGTTGCAGCGCTACAGTGCGACCGCTCATCGCGTCGGACCAAAAAGCCCCAAAATGGCTCCGTTTTCGCGTGTCGCGGGCTGTTTTCTGCAGCCCGCTGTAGCACCCAAAACATTAGCCATCTTAGCACCCTGGAACCCCCCGGGTGGCACAGGGCTGGATGGGGCTTCGGTATATCGTCGGGCATTGAAAAATCTTTACAAGTTCACACGTTAACTTGACGGGAACTTACCTTCGTGCCCGGTGAGCAGTTGTTTGTGGACTTGCAACTGTTCGTTCTACCTTCTAAAGTCCTTGTTTTCTCCTTCCTCTCTTCTCTCTTGCACTCAACGTGCTTGCTAAATTGCTTGTAAAGCTTCCTCTTTCCGCGAGACGTCGGGACTTGTCCGCCGCTCGTTCTTCGAACTAATCAACTTTCTCTTTTACAGGTCCTTCGGAACCCGAGTGAGGTTGCAAATTGGCTGACCCTTTGTGGACGCATAACGCAAGGGCGCATCACGACTTAGGCAATCCCAGCTAAGTCCGAGAAGTTGGCGCAAGGATACTTCGCGACTTAGGCAACTCAAGATAAGTTCGCGACTTGGCCGCAAGGGTGCCTCATGGCTTAGGCAATTCCAACTAAGTCCGTGACAGATCGCTCAGAAGTTCTCGCGCGACAAGCATGGACAGATTGCTCTCAGCAGAACATAGGTTGCTTCGTCAATTCTCCCCTTCTTCCCTCCTCTCACCAATCGAATGCACCTCTATTTGGCACCATGAAAGGGGCAGAATATGTTGTAGCTATTGCTGCATCTTTGGATGTCGAGGATGAAGATGAAGCTGCAGGTTTTGCGACAGTTCTATGCTACAGAATTCTACTGCAATCTAAAAGAAGAGGATTCCTTGCTTGCTGATTTCGACTGCTATTGGAGATGAGTTGTCGAGGCTTTCTTCCTCTTCTCTTTTTCTTCTGCTGCTACTCTCAGCTAGGAAGCTGTCCTAGATTGGGTGGAAGGTTGGATAGAAGGAAGAAGGGTGTTGTTGTGGTCCTCTTTCTCTTCTCTCATCTCTTCTCAGCTTAGGGCTGATTGGCTTCTTGACAGGGGAAACAACTTAGATTGCTTTGGGATGCTTTAGATGGGCTCTCCTCCTCCTTTTATAGCTAGAGAAGGTGTGGAGTCTTAACTAGGTTAGGACTCGGAGAGTCCTAATCAAGGTTCATAATTTCGTACCGTACCGGAGTTTCGAGCTTTGCTTGATACGGTACGGTACAGGCATACCAAGCGGTATGCTAGGGTGTATCATTCGGTATATATATATATATATATATATATATATATATATATATATATATATAGTAAAAAAAGAGGCGTACGTTGCCTCGGCGACGTCACTTCCCTTTTCTTCTCCTCATCCGTAGCGTTTGGCGAAGAGATCGAAGGCCACAAACGTCTTCAGCCTTCGGCGAAGAACGCGGCGAAGGTCGTAGGCATCTCCAGCCTTCGGCGAAGAACGCAGCAAAGAAGCCGAGCTGCCGCCTCTCCGTTACCTCTCGGATCGGGATCGTCAAGGGAAGGCGACGCCGGATCGGGAAGCGTCAAGGTTCTCCTAATTCTCCCTCTTCTTAGAGCGCCTTCTCCCTCTTCTCCCTTGACGTATCTTTTTCCCTCGTCGCAACCAGGCTATAGCCAAATTGATACCACCCGATAGCGAGCAGTCCACGTACTAATCTGCTAGCGGACAGGTAGGTACCGCCCGGTAAGGGCGGTATCATTCGAAATTAAAATCCTTGGTCCTAATATAGTTAGGACTTAGAGAGTCCTAATACTTTTTAAAACTTAGAAAGTCCTAATCCTTGGTGCCACTCCTTCCTTGTGGCTGCCCCAATTTGGGTGAGGGCTACGCTAATCCTAGTCCTAGTATGACTTGGATTGAGGTACTTAAGCTGTTGTGATATGGGCTTTGCTTGGCCAAATAGGGCTTTGAGGCTTTAAGAGGCCCATTAATAAGGGTTGGCCAGTCTGGTTGAGTGATGTTGAGATTATCCCCAATCAATAATCAACGTATTTTGCTTATTTGACTTATGAATGCCTTGATTTATGTCTATTTGTGCTCAAACTCATGCTTATTTATCTTTTTCTCCAGATTAGTATATCATTTTCCTTGCATTTTATATTCATATGATGCATTGTAGATCTATCGAAAGCTATGCCAGGTCTATGCAGATATATGCAGCATAGATCCCTGTTAGATTGATGAAAATCCAACTCAGATCCATGGGATCCAAGTAGGAAGTGTGTCATACAGTCTACATTCAAGCAAATATAGACTAACCTAGCATAAATATATGCTAAATATGATCAAATTCTACCTAGATTTGCATAGATCTAGGCTACATCCACACAGAGCCAGCCAAGATTGATGCATATCTAGGCTAGCTCTATGTAGATCTAGGTTATATCAATGCAAAGATAGCCTAGATCCCTATATCGTGCATTAATTTTAACAGTTTTTGAAGTTCTTTTACTTATGTATTTTGATATATATTACATAACAGGTTTTCTATTCATTTATTGAGGCAAATATATATGCAAAACTATGTCTAAGATGGTCTGGATGGGTTTGGAAGTAGGCACAGAAAGTCCGGCCAATGTCAACTAGTACCAACCTATATAGAGTGTCAGTATGGTATGATGTCAGTATTTTACCAACCCAATGGAAGATCAATGTTGGCGCTCAACCAAGATTTGAAAACCTTGGCTGCGAATTCATGAATCATTGTTGTTTTTAGCATTTCGTTACGATAAAAAAGAAAAGGTATTCTATGAATTTTTTAATCTAAACAAATGCTAGAACATTAATTTTCTCGACTTCGATGCAGAACCAAAAGCCATACTGCAAAGGCCCAAGACAAGGAAGCAAGATATCATGTTCTTGCCACCCATATATTCTCTAGTCCAAAGTATAATACAAGATATTCTTATAACTTAGAAGAGACAATATCCAATCAAATTTACACAAAGATAGGGATTTCACCTGTTCCTCATCAACAACAAGCAGGCCCAGATTGTTGTAGACCACACGGTTCCCGAGAAGTGCATGGGTTCCAACAATAATATCCAAATGTCCACTTTTAATCATTGAAATATACTCTTCTTTCTCTGCCTTAGTCTGCACAATTAATCAAAACTTCATAATTAGTGCAACCTAGGAAAAGCAAACTTCGAAATGTCTTCAATGAACCACTAGAAGTTAATTAAACTTCAAGTCAGAAAAAATGCATCTGAAACTAACAGCCTTAAAATGTGATAATTTTCTACAGCCAAAGTGATTTAGCTAAGCAATCCAAGAGAGCATTTAAGAATAATTCTAACTATTAAATTTTTTTCTTGTATTACACAAACAATCTTACACCATCGTAGATAAGTCTAAATAGACTGAAAGAAGAGATTCTCTGTGGGCATTTAAAAGTGAATTAGAAAAAGCTGTGAAAGTTGATGAAAAAAAAATCAAAGAACAATAGATATATTGATAAGCTGCTGAATAATATATTATGGTTGAGTTTGATGCTCTTTTTAATGTACCATTCAATAGATTCAGAGCAAACTATTGTAATCAACGAAACAATCTAATTGTCAATCAGGTATAGTTAGGCCCAGATGAAGTCACACCAGGTTTAGGAATAAGAACTGCATGTCTAGATATGTCTTTCATATTCTCAGATTTTCATCATTATTCCTAGATAATCTTGCTTCTAATTTCACAATTTGAAAGGAATTAATGAATTTTTTTCTGTTATATCAGTCCTAATGGAATTAATGTCTTTCATATTCTCAGTTTCACAATTTGAAACTGACAATTGGAAGAATGAACTTATATGCGATAAGAGGAACAAGTAATTCTCTTTCCTATCTCAGTAAGTCCACCTATATTTTACTTGTGGAATTTGATCACAAGTACCAGAATATCTGATTGCCCACACCACAAGTTTTAGTTAAATCTCTAATTGATCTCAACTGAAGCCAGCTGCACCCAGCGTGAAGTTAGGACAAGATACAAAAGCAATAACACCATAGAACCCAATGTTTGCATTATCGTACCGTACCGCTCGGTACGGGTGGTACATACTGGTTAGCCAGCAGACTAGCACATAGACCGCCCGCTACCGGGCAGTATCAGGCATTTGGCCCCGTATCGGGCGATACAGGGCTGTACCGGGCAGTAACGGTCAAAATTTTGACCGTTACCAACCTGTATTGGCTGGTACTGGTCGATTTCGACCGTTACCGCCCAGTTGAAATCAACCATTACCGAATGGCAACAGTGCTCCAATGGTCAATTTAACCGCTGGCGCACTCCTTAAAGGTTTTTAAACCATTTTCTCCCCTCTATTTCAATCCATTTCACTTTCACACTCTCTTAAACTCATTTTTTCTCACATTTTCACTCTCCTAAACTCAACAAAGCAACGATTTATGGATTGAATCAAATTTATGAGGCTAATTTGAAAGGATTAAGAGGAAGAACCTTTTAATCAAGAGGTATGTATTCTCTTTCTAGATTTTTTTTTATTTATGAGATGATTAAGCTTATTTTAAATGATATATGATTTATTGTCTAATATATTGTTTGACATGTTTTTGATGGAAGAATAATATTAATTATGGAGTAATTAAGATCTTTAATATTGTGATTAGTCTGTTTAATATTGATTTATTCAAAATTAGACAGTTAATAGGTCAAATGTTTATATTTCATGCATATTAAGTATTGGATCATGTGTTTGTGATGGTATAATAGGTTTAATTAGGTTTTAATAAAGTTATTTAATGCTGTGATTAGTGATTTTAATGGTGATTTAATCAAAATTTGATCGATATTAGGTCAATTCAATGTCTTTAATACCTATTAGGATGTTTGACATGTTTAGAGTGTTGAAAGAGAAGTAATTAGTGGGTAATTAACAATGTTAATAGTGTGAGTAGTGAATCTAATGATGATTTCATCATAATTTGATTTATATTAGATCAAAATTACGTATTTAATGTTTCTTTTATGTGTTTAACATATTTATGATGGTAAAATAAGTTTAATTAGATTTTAACAAAGTTATTTAATGCTACGATTAGTGAATTTAATAATGCTTCAATTGAAATTTGATCGATACTGGATAAATTAAATGTCTTTAATACCTATTAAGGTGTTTGACATGTTTAGAGTGTTAAAAGAGAAATAATTAGTGAGTAATTAAATATGTTACTAGTGTGATTAGTGTATCTAATGATGATTTCATCGTAATTCGACCTATATTGGATCAAAATTGCATATTTAATTCTTCTTTTATGTGTTTAACATATTTATGGTAGTAAAATATAGTTAATTAGGTTTAAATAAAGTTATTTAATACTGTGATTAGTGATTTTAATAAATGATTTAATCATAATTTGAACGATATTTGGTAAATTAAATGTCTTTAATATCTATTAGGGTGTTCGACATGTTTAAAGTGTTGAAAAAGAAGTAATTAGTGGGTAATTAACTATGTAAATAGTGTGATTAATATATCTAATGATGATTTCATCGTAATTTGACCTATATTTGATCAAAATTATGTATTTAATATTTCTTTTATGTGTTTAACATATTTATGATAGCAAAATAGGTTTAATTAGGTTTTAATAAAGTTATTTAATGCTTCGATTAGTGAATTTAATGATGATTTAATCAAAATTTGATCGATATTGGGTCAATTCAATGTCTTTAATACCTATTAACGTGCTTTACGTGTTTATAGCTTATTTGATTTCAATTTGGTAAGAATATAACACCAAAAGAATAGTCATATGATGACGCATGGGCTCATGCCCGAAAGATGGAGGGGAACCGTCATTATTGGCAATATATTTATTGTGACTACATTGGCAAGGTTGGAGGAATTATTAGGTAAAGATGTATTTGACTGGTGGGTATCCCGATGTTGCAAAATGCAAGGAGGTTCCGACCGAGGTTCGTAAATCATTTCAAAACAAGTTACAATAAACAAGAGATGATACAATAAAAAAGAAAGCAAGAGCTGAGGAAGAATATTGTAGGACTACGCAAGAACCAGTTTATGACAAGTATGAGGGCCGCGGCGATGAAATCGACCTGAATTTCACAACTGATATTCGTTCATCACTGGAGCATCAGTATATGTACGACGAAGCATTGAGGCATCGATAACCTGACTCACAATGGGAGCACGGTGGTGGCAATGAAATCTAGAGGTCGACCAGGATGAGGTAACCAACTGCCCCTCCTCAGTTAGGCCGAACTAGTAGCATGAGGCATGGTGGACTCCGTGGTTTTATGAGAGGTCTTAGCAGGAGGTCCGCACCAGATATTGTTGATATTGATTTACAAGCCTATCCTCCACAAACAATAAAACATACACGGATTGACGATGCACATATAAAAGAAAAGCGAGATATTAAGAAGGCAATTTCAAAATGGTTTAACTTTTATAGGATTCTAGCAAACACAGCCCAAGGTCTATATTATCAAAGCATAGTCACCTCTAAGTCTGGCACGAGGATCTAACCTCCAACACTGAGGGAGATTCACGATGTGTATTTAAATGAGGAGGTAGTAGAACTTAAGGATTGAATCAAATCCTTCAAGAGGCAATGGGAAGAATATGGGGTGATATTGATGTGTGGCAATTGGACAGGGCCAACAAGAATGAGTATCATCAACTTTCTTGTTTATTGCAATAGACAGGTGGTGTTTCATAAGTTAGTTAATGCTTCTAACAAGATCCAAGATCCAATCTATATTGAGAGCTTGATGGACACTGTAATAGAGGAGATTGGACCACAATACATTATCCAAATAGCCACCGACAATGGACCAAATTTCAAGAAGGTCGGTTTACAATTAATGGCAAAAGAAAAATATTGTTTTGGACTCCATGTGCAGCTCATTGCATAGATCTAATATTGAAGGATATTGGCGAGCTTTCAGTTATCAGCAAGTGTGCAGCTCGAGCACAGTCAATTACAAAGTTTATATATAATCATTATTGGGTCCACTCTTTAATGTAAACGTATGTAAATGGTGTGAGATACTCTGACCTGGAGTCACTCGATTTGTTATCAATTTCATTGCATTAAAGTCATTACAACAAAAGAGGTAGGGCCTCAAGGCAATGGTCACCTCACAGGAATGGTCTGATTCCAGGCATTCGAGATTGAGCGATCAAAAGAAGATGGAAAAGGCCATTCTTTCCTTTAGATTTTGGGAGACCATGATTGAAATCATAGAAAGTGTGGAATCACTTTATGTTGTCCTCCGTAAGGTCGATATGAACAAGCATCCACAGATGTCTTATCTTAAACATATGCTGATTACAGCAAGAGAAAAGGTCAGGAAAGTATTCAAGGATGATTTTAAGGTTGACCAATACTTGCAAATCATTGATCGTAGGACTGAAGTTCATATAAATCAAGATATCCATAATGCAGGTAAATTTATATTCAGTTTAATTTAATTCATAATTTTTTTATTATATAAAAAATTCTTGCTAACAAAATTATGTCTTGCAGCTAATTATCTAAATTCGACAATTCAATATCGGTATACTCTTGGAATGCAAAATGATTTACTAATGACACAATAATTAATATCTTATATAGTTGATTATATATCGACTCTTGTTAAATACTGTTGATGCAGCTGATGCTATTATGGAGGGTCGATTCTTCCGAGCTACAATTGGTTCATTCTCCGATGTTGTAGTTGTATCGTGTCGTTACACTATGGATCCTAATGAGAAAAAATTACACATATTGATTATCAACTATATATGATATTAATTATTTGTTATGCTAATAAAGTGTTATTTATATCTTTTTACAGTCAAGTGGTGACTACAATTTGAAGAGGATGCACCAAATTTAAGGAAGATTGTTGTTCGTGTGCTTTCACAGACGATAACATCTTGTGGCTGTGAATATAAATGGTCAATGTTCGCATTGATTCACACGAAGGTCCGCAACAGACTATCGTATAGACGATTGGAGAAGTTGATACAGTGATTGCAAAAGGCGCTCGGGCGCTCGCCTAGGCGCTCGGGCAAGGCGAGGCGAGGCGAGGCCCGAGCGCCTCGCTAATGTCCCAGGCGGCGCACTTCAAACAGGCGCCGCCTGGGCGCTCGCCCGAGCCCAGGCGCTGGGCGCTTCGGGCGAGCGCCTAGGTAAACCAAGGCGACC